GCAGGACAATTGGCATAAGCAGAGCTTTAAGTAGGACACACTATTTCTTGCAGCCAGGGGGTCAAAAAACCTGGACACAATGAAGGTTGGATTTGGTTGAATCTGTAAGATTTGGAAGAACATGGGGATAGAAAATACACACAAATGCATAGAAATCCACAGAAAGTTTTTTTTTCCCTACTCCAACAGCTTATTATATATAATGAACCAAATAGTGGAATTAACATGATTTTTCCTGAAGATGTAATGCTTTGTCTGACTTATCTCAGAAGGATTTAATTATGAGAGACTGACTTTTTATAAATATAGAGTATTTATAGTATTCTATAGAATAGTTTATAGAATAATTTATAGGACTATAAGATAGATACAGAATATAGAATAATATAAAAATATAGAATAGTTTATAGGACTTTTACGGCTGAAGGGTTTTTTTTCTGTTAGAATTAAAATTTCTTCCAGTACAAAAAAAAAAAAAAAAAAAAAAAAGAAGAAAAAAAAACACTTATTGATATTTATTCAGGTTTTGACTGAAGCAAGGAATGTTTCCTCAGTTTGAAATGTAGACCTAAGTCCAGGAGAGATCTGTATCACTGTAGCTCTCTGCTTTGAGGCCTGAGAAGATGTAAACACACACGTCTTTCCTGAAGAACCTAAATCACCTGAATTTCTCCTACTCTGTATGAAGCATCATGATCTCCTTGCTTGTGTTCATGGTTCCTTGCAGCTACCTGCAGCTCACAAACATGCCATCCGGTTGCTTGAGCAGCTTGAGCTGATAGGTATGTTCTAGCATGCACATCCAGCACAGGACKAGGCAAAGAAACCACGTTTTGTTTTGAATCTGAATTCCAGCTGGGAACTGCCCCTCTTCCTGCAGCTGAATCCATACACACGCATCCAGAAAGGCGGAATCTGGGGTCTGCAGAGACCAAAGCAAAGAAAGGAAGGAGACTCATTTTGTAACCTGATTGTCAGAGCCTTCACATTCACAGAGTAGACCAAAGGAGGTGAGGGGAGCAGTCACCTCGCTGTTTGGCACAAGAAATGAAGAATTTTAAATCCTTTCATTACCTAAATTTGTAATCCACTGGTCTGTAGTCTTTTTTAACTTTTTTAATGGGTGTGTTATATAATATACACCCAGTGTTTACTATTACTGTGAGCTTTCTTAAAGGGCAGTTCAGCCATACTCTGCTACATATATATGAGCGTTTAAATCTCATTTTTGAGATACCAAATGTTACTTTAATTATATTATGGTCACTTTTTGAGTTTTATTTTTATTTGTAATGGATTGGTTTTCCAAAGGAATTCAGAGATAGAGAGATTRTGCAGTTGTTGAAATGGTATTTGCTGTCACCTTAACAACAACAGAAAAAGCTCTGTTTTAAATAGAAAATAAAAACCAGATTCTTCACTAGAAGAATGTGCTGAATGTATTAAATGCATTAGAATGTATTGGATTATCTACATATTTCCTAACAAAATAAATAGTCTCTCTGAAATACACTCTTTGAAAATAATGTTAGAGAAAAGCCTGGGTAGGAAAGGTGAGAAGCATAATATATATTATATATTAAAGCCTATTATTTGCTCAGCATCCTTCTGTTAGAGCTTTAGCTTAGATCTGATGTCCACTGTAAATCATGGAACTGCCTCGTAACTTACATCTTTATAATGCCCTGTCACTAACAAAAGAGACAACAATTAAAATCTCAACAAATGCCTCATCTTGTGCTCATAACTTCTGTTCACTCCCTCCCTTCTCAGTGCTGTTATTAGCATTAGATGCTTCCGTGGAGCAGAGTTCCCACCCATGGATTCATCTGTTCCTGCGTGTAAGAAGGAGACTCCTCTAGAGGCAGACGGAGGATGGAGGAGCAGGTGGGTATCGTTCTCATGTCCTTGCAGTGCCCAAGACAGAAGGAGTTCAAGATATTTCACCGTTAAGCCCAGACTGCTTCCTGGGACAACTGCTCCAAGTCTAGGCACTTGGTCAAGGTCAAGGGTTCTATTTGGATGAGCTGCACAAGAGTTTTTTTTCCATATGGTTGGGATTGGTTTTAAAGAGGGGACCTGTGGCACAAACACGGGCTACTTAAGCCTTGAGCCACTCTGGGGGAAGGGATGTGTATAAATAGGCACTCCTTAAAAATAAAGCTATTTTTGGCTGAACCAATAAATAATTAAATATATTTCGTAGTTTAATGTACTGCTTATTAATACACTAAATGGAGCAAGGCACCACACCCAAATAGACATATAGAAGCTACTACAATAGCTTCTTACTGATTTTATAGGCTGAAAAATATCAGTATATCAGTCATAGAATTTGGACACTTTTCATGTGATAAATGTTTATGTATGACATATATTTTGGCTGTCTACTATCAGAAGAATCAGCCGTTTCATGGTAAGTTTCCAGTTTTATTCCTTTCCACATAGTCCAGAACATCTTTTTTATTTTGTTATGATGGATATGTCTCTGTGATTGTGCTTTCCACATGTGTTTATAGTGTTCTAGTCTATAGTGTTCCAGATTACAGAAATTGCCAGTACTTGCCTGTTTATTATTTCTACATACATTTTCCCCTGTTGAGTGGTGGCAAGTCCTTGAGCAAGCTGTAGTTTCCATTCTCACCTGCAGTTTTACAGGATTCCTCCATGTGCAAAACCTCACTGAAAGCACAAGGGCTCTGAGCAACAGGAGAAGCCTTCCTGGGATGTGCAAGTTCATAATATCAGTATTTGTGACTTCCTAATACAYGCTGGCATGTTAGCAGAGATGGGTAATAACAAATCCTTGATGCTGCTTTGCCTTTTTATGCACAGTCCAAAGCAGTGCAGTATCAGGCACATCTAAACGTGYGAGTGCCAAGGTATGTTCTTAAGCAGGGTGCCCTTTAATAGAATAAGAGCCGTTACATAACGCACCTGCCTCCCCTTCAGCTTTATACAAATAATCTCCTTCCCAGGATCACTTTCTCTTTTCCTTTCTATTACTCAAAGCTCTCCCAAACCATATGTACCAGTAACCTGCTAACAGAGTGAAAACACAGAAGCATTAAAATAAAGGCATAATATAAATGTAACTTGCTCTTTGCAAGTCAACTGAAAAAGACTTATTAATGTCAGAGAGAATGTGTGGGTACGTACGTGGGTGAGGAGCTAGAGTTTGAATACGAAAAAAAAAATCAGGAGTTTCTTTAATACTTCATAATAAGAATCATTTTTTTCATTGGGTGCATGACAGCTTTTATGTGTATATCCTCCTTTTTCTCTTCCATTCCTAACTGCTTAATATATCTGGCAAAACTCCAGCTTTGGCTAAGTAAGGAAAGAATTAAAGGAAAAGTCTGCATTTTAACTGTTCAATCCCTTTTGACATGTGCTGAAAAAAAAGCCTCTCACAGAGGCTCCTGCTGCTCCACAGCCGATCGATCTTCAGTCAGCCTTTTTGTGGCAGCTTCGTCAGGACTCGCTGTCTGTCCCTCCTTCTTCAGTAAGTTCTCTGGCTATCTTGTTCRCTGCTCTGCTCCCGGGCATCCTTTCTTCCTTCTTCATCAGTAATTTCAGAGCACCAGAAATAAGCTGCTGTTAATCAAATGATTTGTAATTTCTTGACAGAACAACGGAAAACCTGCAAACTTTGCTGTCATGGTGTTGGTCTTTGATGGTGTTCTGGGAGCCTGTGGGATAAGCAGGGGGAGCTTTCAGCAAGTGTTAAGAGATACAATCAATAGATACTCCAAAAATATTAAAAGCTAGAATTAACCCACACATCGAGGACATATATGAGTTCATTTTAGGAAGGCATATCTGTGAATTTTAATTCAATACCTTTCACATTTAGCTGGCAACTTTATTGCCCCAAACAGCTCTAATTTGAGCAGTTATTGTAGTGGATGCCACAAAACACAAAAGCAGAAAATATTCCCTCCATGGCCCCTGAATGCCCTTCGGGGATTCAACTTATGATTTAGTACATACGACTTCACGAATAAAAACACTGAGTTGACTTCACCCTATTGTAGTTAATGCTGACACAGAAAGAAATATATATCTTATTTGGGATGTAGTCTTACTTGCACTATCTGCTGACAGTGTTTCACTGGAACCAGTATTAAGTGAGATCCTTAGGCAAGATTTCCACGAGGAAGGCTGCAAGAGTCATCTCCACTTTAATGTCTCTACCTTTGAGGCTCCACCTCTTATTTATAAAATATTAGAAGCAATTTCTTACATCTGTTTAGATTTCACTTYGCACTGTGCTACAGGAATAATAAAAATAAAAAAGACAAACAGAGCAGTTAAGATATTTTCTGGCAGTGGCCCACACTTATACCATTGCCTTCAACACCAGAACCCATTAGAAACATTTTTGCCAATGTTAAAAGTAATTTATTTGTGAGTCATTTGTTACAGAGAAGCAAACAAAGTTCATTAAACTAGCAACACTGTATCTAATGACATTATCCATTTGTAAGACTACAGCTATGTTCACTTGGGCTCSATTATGCAGATTTAAGTTGAAACCTTTGAAATTAGCCTTCATCTTGATTGTGATGAATAGCGAAAATGAGGGCTCTGAAAAAAAACCCTGAATTCTTTTTTTTCCAAAAAGAAAAATAACTGTTTTGACAAAAGTGGCTTCATCTCGACATATTTATAACACAAAATGAAGCTAAAATAGAAATATTTGTATGAAATGTCATAGCAACTTGCTTTGATGTATTTTGCCAAAATTCTGTGAAGGAAATTACCCAGTTTTTGCTGAGTACTTCAAATAATTTGCACAAAGAAATCTGTGAATGGAAGGGGCCCTCCACTTCAGCACAGGGATTCCTGGAACGGGACAGCAGTACTTTTTTTTCCCAACAAGCTGTTGAGAGTCCTAGGACCACCACAGTGACCTAGGCATTTTTTCAAAACTTCTCAGAAGATTCGTTAATTTAGTGAAAAATCATTCCCTGTAACATTTCGTTGCTTAAAGGATGGTTCATTCAGCTGGGATGCAAGTGTAAGAAGTGCTTTAATATTTATATAATATTCCTRATCTGTCATTCCTCTTTCAGGCATGTTTCGTGTAAGGCAAGGAAGGCCTCACGGACCTCGTGACCTGACCATACAACCATCTTGAGATGTAACAAGCTGCATAATTCAATCTGAATGCGTGTAGCATTTCTGATATTGAAATAAAGATTTTTATCTGCATGCAACAGGCTCATTTTGCCTGTCTCTCTCACTGTTAACAAGGCCACCTGTCTTTTCTGAATGGCATTTTCTTTCAGTGTTTTTATGTTCTCCAAGGAGTGGATGAGGCTGCCCCTAAATAATTGTTCAGACAAATCAAGGGAGGAATTGCTTGTGTGATCCTTTAACTGTTGTTGTAAGGACAGTGCCAAGGGGTGTGAGATTGTCCATGTTTTTTGCTCATGGTTTCTGTATTAATTTGTTTCTAATGAAAAAAAGCTAAATTCTATGCTGTAGATGCTGAACGGTTTCTTAGTTGAAGGATGTGATCTTTAACAGAAAATATATTGAACTAGAAAAGTTAATTAACAAGAAAAAGACTCTGTAAATTAGAACAAAAGGTCCATTACAATGAGGAAAATTCCAGCTTGCAACAGATCAGTCAAAACGAGCAGTATTTCTTGTCACTGACTTTATTTGTTTTTTCTTGATTGTTACCCTCCTTTTTACTTACAGCTGCTGTTTCTTTAGCAAAAATAAGACATTCCGTTGCTTTCATGRTTTACCCAGGCCTGAAGGGACAGCTCAGAATCATCCACAGCCTTTTTATTTGTGACATAGACTAAGAAAACATCAGGAACTCTCATCAAGGTATGTCCAGGTTGTAGTTTCTGTGCATCTAGAGATGTTAAGGGAAGGATGCATCACCTTGGGCTTCTGTCAATAGGAAAAAGGAAAAAAAAAGAAACAAATTAGATATTCTACATACTTCAAGTTGTGGGAGATATTTTCTCTACATATCTGTGTCTCTAAAACACAAGTCTTCATTTTATCTCACCATTGCTTCCTGCACACAAGACAGAAAGTATAAGTAAAGAAAATACCATGTAAGTAAATACATTTCTTCTGACAAAAATGGTTTGGTCAGTATTATATCACAAGTAGCTGTTTTAAGCCTTAATTAATTACACCAAATCATACTGTGAAGAAAAAAAAAAACAGTAACACAAATGCCAACGGAAAAAAAAAAAAAACCTTTTTCTTACAGAGCAGAAGTTCTGCAGTCAGTTATCTCCAGCCTATCATGATGCTATAGAACACAGGGATATTCTCTGCCATTCTGTCCATTAAAATTCTCATAAAGCCAATAGGAGTTTTTTAAAATAAGGCCTGATTAAGGCTCAAAATTGACCTCAATACTTCTAAATAATATTTGCAGAGAAGTCCTATAATAGGAACTCTGTAGGAACCCAGGAATTTTCACATGGATCTGCATCCCACCTTATCTTTAAAGAAAGCACAACAGGGTTGAAGGAGTGCATGTCTGAGGTCTGAGGACAATAAATTCTATGAATGGAGGCAGGTCCATCGAGTGTTTTGTAAAACATACTCAGCCCTGCACTCTCACTGTGATCTCTTCCTCTTTCATCCTGTTCTCCCAGATAATGAAGAGTATGAACCAAGTTGTCTATACTTTGCCACAGTTGTTTCTCTGGGATATATTTCACTAACTGAGCTTCTCAGCAAGRAAAAAATATATATATTCTGTTATTAGARAACATTCCTGTTTTTCTCAATGCAATGTGCAGAGGAAAACAGAGCTTGTTTGCACAGGAACTAAAGGAGCTAACGGGGGTACAAGGTGCTTGCAAACAACAGATGGGAACCAGCAGGAAGGTGGTGGTCAACACAAGAGCAGTGTTCTCTGTGTAACAGCTGCTGATCAAAGTTTCTGCAGGATCCAAGAGCTTTATGGAAAGATACGAAAAACATTTTTTACTGGTAATGGTGTAATTTATACACCTAAAATATAGAACATCTGGAGTGGCTTAAGAGAACTGAAGTCAGTTATCCAAGGAGGCTTGAAGAAGAGCTGAGAAGAGAAGCTAAGTTTTCATCAGTCCTGTTATTTTCGCCTAGCTGCTACCTCCTTTCAGACAGAATAATACATGAATCCTTCTATAAAAACGAGAAAAAGATTTTCATGGTGTTTAAATTGAATATTCAAAAATTTATAGCACATTCTCTGGCCATGTGCAAGATTTTTCAACCCTTCTTTCCCACCTGACTTCAAAATATGAAGGGRCATCTGGCATCAGCAGAAGTCCAAAAAGGAACTTAAACAAAAGACAAAAACTATTACTCCTTTGATTTTGAAAAATAACAACTTAAGGAAAAGGCATTATTTCAGTCTAGTGACAGTCATTAGTCTAGCTAACAACATACCAGCAAGAGCAGAGAAAATATGTCTTGTGTTTCCTTTTAATTTTTGAAGTCAGGTTGTGAAGTACAGGTAGTTGCCACATCCTTTTGAGCACAGAAAGGGTAGAGAAAGGGCCCTGCTGTGTTCTCGTCAAAACAAACTGCATCTGCTTCGTGCCTTCTGGTCGCTTCAGAGGTCCATGGCAGGGTGAGTCCCCGGATCCTCTAACTGACAGATTCTTTTGAGCCAGAGAAAACAGCCAGACGTGGAGACTTTGGGCATGGGAGGCAGGAACTCAGCGTCAGAGCCTATCCTGCGTGTGACTCTTCACACAACAACCAATTTAAATGACTTGCAGGGCTTGAAGGCTTTTCTGCTGTGTATTGCACTGCTCATGCTCGTACCTACTGCAAAAGCAAGAAATGGTTGCAACTCAAAGCTCAAGCAAATATGCCTAACTTAGCTAAACCAATATGCAGGTCYTCAGAGTATCTACCCAAAGGTGTTTAGAGAAAGTAAAAATGTGCATTTTAATCTTTCAAAATTGCAGACAGTATCTCTTCAATATGGGCAGACAATAATCTCCTTTAAACGAACAATCATAGCTGTATTATTTACTTGGTCTATAAAGGTAACTGAGCCTAAAAGAAACTTAAAGCATTCAAGGTTCCACATGTAGTTTTCCAAGTCTCCAGAAGTCACTTAGGAAACACAGATGCTTCTCCATTTCTTTCACTTATATATTAGTTAACTGATTCTTTCTGTTAAAAAGAAAAATAAATGATCTCTGAAGCTGATCTCTGAAATTCCCTCTTTCTAGGCCACCTACAAAAAGACTAAGAGCTAGTGAGATCAGTAAGGCCTCGAAGAAGTGCATGTTCTTAAACAATTCAGAGCGTTTTAAGCAATATTCTCGCTTCTCATAGAATGATGCTCTACAAGAGAAAGGATGAAGAAAAGGTGATTTTTTTCTTTTTTTTTTAAATGCAGATACAATGCTGAGAGTGTCTGCCAGGGTAAGGGGAATCATTCCTGCTGGGGAATCTCCAGGAGAGCAAGATGCAAAGATAAAACACAATAGTTTGTAATGTTTCTAGAACGGCAGCAGCCTATTTTAAGAATGAACACATGTCAAATGCTAAGCCTTATTGAAAGAGTGGGTATTTCACAATATCCAGAGTGCAGGAAATTAGGAGGAATGTACAGATAAAGACGAAGCCTAGCTAAATGGAATTAGTGTTATCAAAGCAAATGCTAAATTCCCAGATGTTAAGACAAATGCTAGGAAGAAAATAAGACTAAAAAAAAAAAATTAAAAAAGACTGCTCTGTTAATAAGAGCTGGAATGAACACTGAAAATAATTCTGGTTCCACCATTACTACATGTTTACGTACATATTCTAGATTAACCCCACTATCCAAAGATACCTGTCAGAGAATACCTACTAAACACGTAATTTCATGAGCAAAACTTTATTTTCTGAGTTTTGTATTACAGCTCTTGTAATAACAGGTAACAGACCTGCGATGTGATTGTTTATCTGCTATCTAATGTCATCAAAAACAAGCAAGCAAACAAACAAAAAAGAAAACAGAAAAGACATTCAATAGGTGATTTAAAAAGTCAAATTCATATCTRCAGGCTACCAGTAAATTATAGGTCAGCGCTTGAAAACTGGGATTGCTCTTTGCTGAAAGTTTGAATCCYAAGTCCTTTGAAGTCTCACAATCTGTCTATATAACTAGAAATGCTAACATACAGTTCCACAAGTACAGAAACTTAAAATAATAATGAATTCCTTTTTTTTTTTTTCTTTTGCACTTCACTCAGCTTCAAAAAAAATCTGTAAAAAACACTGCACTGACCAATTTTTACATAGGGAATGTACCTGCTCTTTCTGTCACGCAACCTCCACAACATAAATGCAACAACATAAATACAGATTGTTTACAGAGCTCATAAGACACGTGTTTCCTCCACTTCCCTGGTTCATCATGCCACCATTACAGAGCTAGATCCTACCTTAATGCCTTGCCGCAGTGACCCTAATCATTTTCCTTACGGCCATTCATGAAGACAAGACTTCTAAATGTAAGTGGGATTAATGATCTTTACATGTAACAGCTGGAGCCAAATTAGGAAAAGATGTAACTACAGGCTTATAATGTGCTTTATATATTAAAAAGAACATTAMGAGTGTGTTCTGTTTTTATTTCCTTTTTTACAGCATCTCTGTCAATGTCAGGGGTCATCCACCAACAGCAACGGAGCAAAGGACATTTTGCTTTGTTGTGCACCTGGSACTGGTGTAAGTGTCTATAAAAAATGCCTATTTATGTATCTTTGAGYGCATGTTTTCCTCCAAATTCTGCAAATCTCCCTTCTACTTCAATCAGATACTCTCAGTAAAAGCTAAATTAAAAGCAGCTTGTATCTGAGTAGTTATTCCTTTGATTAACTACATATTGCAGAAGCTTGCGTGAAAATGTTCCATAAAGGAGAGTTAAAGACTAAACTGCCATCAGGGGCTTGGTTCATTGATAAATGTGAGGCATGCTTTGTTTGCATGTTTTCCTACTTCTTGCTTTAAGCATTCATATTTTTCACATATATGGAAAATATTTCGGTTCTATATTCTGGCAGACAGTTCCACAGCTTACACAGTACTAAATGATAATAATGATAAAACACACCTGTGCAAAAAAACACCCTGGCATGTTTCATTTAGGTCAAATGGCCTTTTCACACATTTTCTTGATCAACCTGCCCAATGCTCCCCATGCTCCARTGATGCCTCTTCTCCGCACGTTGCTGGATTTTACACATGGAGATCTCATGGTACTCAGAAGCATAAGGAAATGTCASTTGGGCTCCCTTGGTTGGCAAGATCCACATGCCTTTTTGGAGCATCTCATCTCACTTCTTAAACAAACAGCACTAASAAAATTTGCCTTTTTCCTTTGTTTGAGACTGTCACCAGTGACAAAAGACAAGGAAATAATAAGAGGAGTTTCCAACCAGTTAATACCCTAAAAAAAGAAGCAGTGGATGGTGCTCTCTTTCAGGGCCTTGCTGGGAGGGACTGTCCTGCTCTTCCAGATTTTCARCCTTGTTTATCACATCCAAGCAGACCTCGCAGCCACAGTCCCGCTATCCCCATCTCCGTCTGAGATAAAAGTAATCTGGAGCAGGTAAGCAATCTGATTTGTTTCTCAAATTGACACACTTTAAGCAGAAATAACGCTCAGATTTTTTAACTCATCCCTGGTTCAGATTTTCAGGAGCTGAATGCAGCTTAGACGTTGGGGAGAGATTATATCACTGTGACTAGCCAAAGACTAGCAAGCTAAAGGCAGGGGTACAGGAGTGAAGGCTGGAAGGTCTGCAAGTAAAGTTCTCCTTTCAAAACTGTAAGTGAAGTTTTGCAAAGACGAAACCGTAGCTAGAGCAGCAATTTGATGCAACTTGAGGGACTGTTAAAGACACGGACGAGGTGCGGAGCCTGCAGCTGAGGGCACACATGCACATGCACAACAGATTGGGTTAAATCTGTCTTAAATGACACCGTCAGGAGGTTTAAATAATTCACAGTATTTCTGTAAACTACTACTTACGTGCTATATGGCCATATGAAGTAGGAGCCATGACGTGCCTGGTGCTGTGATTCCCATTTCGAAGGTCTCCTGCCTAGGGAATGGTTTTCCCCGCTGCTCTTCCAGGCAATTCGGTGCTGAGCCTCGTCGGGGGCTCCAGTCGGCTCCCGCCCTCATTTATTCACTGCAGAAAAGGAAAATGAAAAAATGAATGCAGACCCTGTCAGCATCCTTCAAAGTGAGGGGGAAAGGGAGGGAAAACAAACAGGCAGCCACGGCCTSTCCGTGCGGCCCGGCCCGGCCCTGCCGCGACCCCGCAGCGTGCGGCAGGGGCCACCCGGGCACATCCCCGCCGCGCCGCCCCGAACCGGGCCGGGACCCAGCGGGCCCTTCCGCGGAGCTCCCGCCGCACGAGGAGGGGCCCCCGGAGCTCGGGCCTGGGCGCAGCCGCCAGGCCGCGGAGCAGGTGCCACCCCCACCACGGCGGGGGCGCCAGGGCTGCTCGGCCGGCCCTGGGCCCG